TTCCCCTGTGCCACTTGGGAATGGGCCAATTCACCGGGGTCTGGACCCACTCACCAAGGTATGGATCAAAACCGTCTTGGTGGGCCCCCCCTCCGTTGGTCTGGCCCTCTGCGCGGGTAGTTTTACGTGAACAGAATCCCCCCCAAAATTGAATGCTCCTGGGGTTCCGTGGACATGTGAAAACACTTGTGGGCCCTCCCTCCCCGCACGTTTTTTACGTGCAAAGAATTGGCCACCTGCAAGTTGGGTCCCTTGCTTGCAGCCCCGTCGTGGCTCGAAACACGTGAAAACACGTGCTGCGCGCGCACCCGCAAGGCGCATGTTGAGCCCCTTTTGGACAATCCCCCGCTGCGAGAGGACGGGAACGGTGCGGGGGTAGCTTCCGAAGCGCCCCTCCCCTTGCAAAGGCAAGCCCTGACGAACCTTCGGCCCTGGAAAAAAAATCAGCCTGGTGAAGGACCCAACCATATGCACTTGTGAGCACCGTCGTTGTATGCACCGCGTTCGGTGGAGCTCTACCAAACGTGTGAGGGGTGCGCCAAAATGGGTGCGGTGACCGCGTGCGAACGCTGGCATGTGGTCCTTCGGCGGGGCTCCCCATGGGGCCACGAAGCGTGTGAGGGGTGCGCGAACATGGGCGCGGTGGCTGCTTGCGAACGCTGGCATTGGGGCCTTCGGTGGGGCTCCTTGTGGGGCCACGAAGCGTGTAAAGGGTGTGCCAAAATGGGTGCGGTGACCGCATGCGAGCGCTGGCATTGGGGCCTTCGGTGGCTCCCGGTGGGGCCACGAAACGTGTGAGGGCTGTGCCATAAATAGGTGCCGTGGCCGCATGCGAACGGTGGCATTGGGGCCTTCGGTGGGGCTCCCTGTGGGGCCACGACACGTGTGAGGGCTGTGCCCACATGGCTGCGGCCGCATGCGAACGCTGGCATTTGGGCCTTCGGTGGGGCTCCCTATGGGGCCACGAAACGTGTGAGGGGTGTGCCGAAACAGAAACATGCGGAGGGCATGGGCGAGGAGGGAAGGAGGGAGGAGGTGGAGGAAGGAAGGAGGAACGCGGGGACCGTGTCTTCGAAACGAGGACCCAACACCACAAGATGATTGGGAACAAAAGAAAGGCTTATTCAGAACCTCCCCCCCTTGGCAACGCAATCCGGTTTGCGAAAAGACGCAAAGGAATCTTCTCAACCTCCTCCCCTTTTGAAAGAGAAACCCGGGCTGATCTGGGCTCCGGAAAAGGATGAAGGGGGGTTAGCTTTGAGGCCCCACCTTTGGCAAGGCAGTCCCGGCTGCGAAACGGGGTGGGGGGAGCTTCCGAAGTCCCCCTCCCTTGGCCAGGCAATCCCAACTGCGAAAAGGAGGGGGGGCGGTAGCTTCCGAAGCCTCCCCTCCTCTTTGAAAGGGGAGCCCGGGCTTACCTTCATTTCCGAAAACAGTGGAGTGGGGGGGCTTCGAACCCCCCCCCGTTGAGCTGGGGCCCCCCCTGGCTCCAAAACGCCTGCAGAAGGAAGGGACAGGGGGGTAGCTTCGGAAGCCCCCTCGCCTTTTTGCAAGGGGGGGGGTTAGTTTGAACCTGGGGCACCCTTTTTAATAAGAGGCGTGCCACGAGCGCGTTCTTTCTTATATTGCCTCACGTAGTATGCTAGAACACGCTGTTTGGAATCCGCGCTGCTTCATATACATAGGTGTGCATGCATGTCTGTATCTCTGTAAGTGTGTATATATATATATATATGTATATATGATTTCGCCGGCCCACCGGGCCAGAGGCGTGCTAAAAATTCTGGCAACTGGTTGCCAATACATTCTAATTCGCGCGCGCGGGGCGGCTTCTGGGGGCTCCCGGACAAGCACCCCGAGCATGTCCCTCCCAGTGCGGCTCAAAGATGGTTTTCCTCCTCGGCGCTGCCTTCCAGGCCTCCCAGAGCGCTCCAGGAGCGCGCCAAGAGGGCTCGAAGACGCCCCCGACACGGTCCAAGGGGCCCCGAGTCGCCGAAATATTGCTTCAAGACGCCTATGCTGGTCTCCAGACGGCTCTAAACGCCGCCGAGCAGCTCCAAGAGAGCCTCAAGAGGCCATCCAAGAGGGCCCCGACAAGCAAAAATCGTTTGATTTCCGAAAGAAAACGTACATTTCTGGCATAGAGTCAACCTGTATAGCAAGGATGTGCGATAAGGATGCAAGGGCCTTGGACGCCCATGCCGAAGCTTTTCGAGCGGGACGCGGCCAGCGAAAGTGGTCAAGGATGGGCCGAAGGGGCAGGGATGCAAGGGTACCCTTGGGAAGGTTGCCTAACCTTATTATGCGGGTTGACTTTAGACGACGTTCGGAGGTTCACAGCGTCCAAGACTGCCCAAGAGCCCCCCAAGATCGCCCAAAGATGGCCCAACATGTCCCCAAGATGCGCCCAAGAGGGCTCCAATACGACCCAAGAGGGCTGCCTTCCAGGCCTCCCAGAGCGCTCCAAAAACGCGCCAAGAAGACTCGGAGACGCCCCCGAGACGGTCCGAGGGGCCCCGGGTCGCCGAATGACTGCTCCAAGACGCCCATGCTGGTCTCCAGACGGCCCTAGACGCCGCCGAGAATCTCCAAGAGAGCCTCAAGAGGCCCTCCAAGAGGGCCCCGACAAGCAAAAACCGCCCCATTTCCGACGGAAAAAATACATTTCTGGCATATACGACGTTCGGAGGTTCACAGCGTCCAAGACTGCCCAAGAGCCCCTCGAGATCGCTCCAAGATGGCCAACATGCTCCCAAGATGCGCCCAAGAGGGCTCCAAGACGACCCATGAGGGCTGCCTTCCAGGCCTCCCAGAGCGCTCCAGGAACGCGTCAAGAAGGCTCCGAGACGCCCCCGAGACGGCCCAAGGGGCGCCGAGTCGCCGCCCAAAAGGGCCCAGGACGGCCCAAGAGGGCTCCAAGACGGCCCAAGACGCCCCCAGAGAGGGAACCCGAAATGACATTTGAAGCTTTCCGACCCCAAGGGCCCCTCCGAGACCGCCAGCAGGCTCCCAAGAAGTACCCAGAAAATCTCAAGAAGCCCCCGAGAGGCCCAAAATCATGTCCCCAAGGCACCCGAACGGCCCTGACGAGGCCTCAAGAAGCTTCAAAACTGCCTCCAAAAGGCTTCCGCGACACCTCCCAGGAGACCCCAACACCGCCGCATCAAATGTCCCTTGCGCCCCATCGACAAGTCCCAGAGTGAGCATCCACGACCAGCAAACCCTTACGAAGGCACCCGAAGTCCAACAAAGCACCACACAACTAGCCGCCCGGCGAAAAGCGACGGATTCCCCTGACAATTCCCGAGAAATCCAGACGAATCGCCCCAACATCATGCCCCACGCAACGCCTCAGAAAACAGCCGACGCCCCTGCAGCTCAACACCGCCAACGACCACTCGGTCAGTCGACGCAGCAGTGCCCCAAAATGGACCGGCGGAATGAGCGAAACGATTGAATCTATATCTATATATATATATACATGTATGCACATACGCATGCATACATATGTATACACGCATACAAGATTGCATTGGCACTTCGCGCCGTGCACCTTGGTCCTATAAGTTTGGCATGCAGGCGGAATGGCAGGAAAGCCAAGCCAACAAGTTAGCGATAACTCCTTGTTGCCTTTTTCTGCAGCGCCGTTATAATCATATTCTTCGTTTCCCTTCCTCCATGTTTCTTGTTTCTCATTCTCGCCATACCCTGCGTATTCTCCCCATCCTCCTCTGCTCTTTTTGCGGAGGCTCTTTCTTGGATCACCTCTGTGGGCTTCACGGAAGCTTTCAAGCTTTCATGAGGCCGTTTGGAGGCCTCCTGGGTGTCTTCTGAGGGCCTCTGGGGGCTTCCTCGGGCTACCTTGCCTCCAACCGCGGTCTCCCTGAACGACCGGGTCACGATTTGGAATGTTTCGGAGGGTGCCTTGAGGCCATCTGGGGCCGTCATGGGGGCTCTCTTAGGCCATCTTAGAAGCCTGTTGTGCTATCTTGGGGCTCTCTTGGACTGCCTCGAAGCCCTTTCGGATAGTTGTGGGGCGACTTTTGAGCCTCCCATGCAGCTTCGGACGCCCAGCAGACCGCCGTCTTGGAGCGTCGGGAAGCCGAAAAGAGGAGAACCCCCGAATTCACCGAAAACCAAAAGAAAATGTATGAATTTTGCCTCTCGGGGCCTTCATGGGAGTACTCTTGGAGGCCTCTTGGGACTTTTTGCGGCGATCTTTGGGAATATGACGGCTTTTTTGGGGTCGTCGTAGACCGTCTTGGTGCTCTCTGGGGTCGTTTCAGGGGCGCGCTGGAACGCCTGGGGCCCTCTGGGGCCGCCTTCGGACTTTCGTAGGGTTCTTCTTGGTTGCCTGGAAGTTGCCCGAGAAGCCCAGGGTGGGCCAAACTCGTTAGGGGTGTGTGTATATGTATATTTATATATACATATATATATACATATATATATATATATGTATATATATATATGTAGATGTGTATATCTGTATGCCGCTTGCCCCCTGCTCCCTAAGCCCTGCTCCCTGGATGCTCCCCAGTCCGTTGCTCCCTGCTCCTGGTGAGAAAATGCACCTGCCGGCCCGTCTGCACGATTGGCAGCAGTGGTTCTGGCCCCTGGCTTCCCCCTCTGCCAGAACTTGAGATGCTCACCGCGCTCTGCTCGTCTTTCTGGTGCAATCTCCTCCTCCTCGTTACGCCCTGCTCCCTGCTCCCTGCCATCTGCTCCCTCTTCCCCTTCCCCATGCCGAACTCCATATTACCCTCATTCTCATCCTCTTCGTCCTGCTCCTCCTGAAGGGTCCTCCTCGTCCTGCTCTCCAACATCATCATCTGGTTCCAATCTGCTGACATGCTTTCGTCACTGAACCCCTTGTTCTCCGTCGGCTTTCGGCGGCATTCGGCGGTCTCCCGCGTTCCACGATGGTTGCGTTTGACAATGCGTCCATGATCGAACAACTACTACTGCACAAGAACACCAAGGAAGCGGAGATGCCGCAGTACCGCTTTCACAGCGTTCATGCTCTGCTCGTCTGCCAGCTGTCCCCACACGGTATGGTCGTGACCCCAGAACGTGTTCGGTCCTGCAGGGAGAAGCGCTCCAAGGAACGAGACGTTCGGAAGACGATGTTCAGCCCGAGCAGTATGATGCGCATATGCGCGCAGATCGCACACATCCCCACGATGACATCATCAACATGTGCTCGTGGGTGCGTTTGAATGCGCGTGGCCGCAGATAGCATTCGCACACGCGCGTGCTCGCATACGCACTGAGCTGCTCTTTACTTCAGCGTCTTGACTCCATGACCTTCAGGGGGTCGACCCCCTCTGAGCAGCCCCCGTGCCCTCCTAGAAGGCCGTCCCCCCGCCCTGCCCACCATGTGGTCGCCGCCGAGCAACGTCAAACCCACAAGCAAGTTCTGCATGGCGGGACGCCACGTCTCAAAACCAGAAGCTTTGCGTTGGCAATGTGCATGCAGCTTTGCCTGTGAGACGAGAGCGGCGTGGAGAGGTCCAGGAAGGGTGCGAAGCACACGGCTTCCTCGACCCGGCCAGAAGCATTTTTCTCCAAACAGGCTTGCCCTATAGGAGTCCTAGTTCAAACCCTACAAATTGGTCCATTGCCCCCCTAATTCTTATGCTCCCCCTAATTCCTATGGCACCCCCACGCTGTTTCCAATGGCGAGTCTTATGGATTCCTATGGGTTCCTATGAGTCGCATGTATTCCTATGCCGTTGCTCTTGCTTGCCCTTGCTTGCTTGCACTTGTTCGCTGGCTCTTGCTTGCTTATTAGTGCTCGCTTGCGCTTGTTTGCGTCCGCTTGCTTGCTTGCGATTGCTTGATTTTGCTCCTCCTGTCCTCCTTCCGTCCTGCTCCCGTCCTCCTTTCGTCCTCCTCCCATCCTCCTCTCGTCCTCCCTCTGTCCCCCTATCTATTTGAAGTCAACGCTGGCTGATATTTTGCCGCATTGCAATTTCTTTGTGTGTTGCAGCTGTTTTTGCGCTAGAGCTTTGCTGCTCTTCTAGCTTCAGCTGTGGACCCCGCGAGCAGAACGACAGCCCTGAGAACAGGTCCTGGAAGGGTGCGAAGCCCACGGCGCCCTCGACACCACCAAGCAACCATTTTCTTTGCACTACAATTGTTTTTGGCGCTGCAACTTTACTCTTCTAGCTTTCACTTTTCTCCAAGTAGGCTTGCCCTAAAGGAGTCCTAGCTCAAACCCTACTAATTGGTCCGTTGCCCCTCCCAATTCCTATGCTCCCCCTGATTCCTATGGCTATGGCTATGCCTGTGCCTATGCCTCCCCCTAACTCCAATGCCTACGCCTATACCTTTGCCTACGCACCACCTCTGAGCGCTCCTATGCCCATGTCTGTGCCTATGCACCACCTCTGGGCACCCTCTTTTTCCAATAGCACCCCCCTTATTTCCAATGCCCCCCCCTCCCCCTTTTTCCAATGACACCCCCCTTGCTTGCTTGCTTGATTGCGCGCTTGCACGCTTGCTTGCTTGCTTGCTTGCTGAGTTGCGGATTCCAAGCATGCTCGATTCCTCTGATTCCTTGATTTGAATCGTCTTGTCTATTTGGGGTCAACGCTGGCTGATATGTATTCCGCGAGTGTGACGAGAGCGGTTTGGAGAGGTCCAGGGAGGGTGTGAAGCCCACGGCACCTTCGACCCGACCAGAAGGCAACCTTTCTTGCAACGTACTTTCTTCTGCAGCCTTGCTGATTTAACTCAGACTTTGGATTACGCGAGAGACGGTTTGGAGAGGCCCAGCTGTTTAATCCTGCCTATTTGGGTTTCTCGTTTGGTGGAAATCTTGGTCTGTTGGTTGATCTGGCAGGGTCGGCTGGTCTGGGTTGGCTGGATGGTTCGGCCGACATGGCGGAAACGGTTGATCTGGTTAATCTTGCTGGCCTGGAGGATGAGCAGAGCCACTCAGCGCAGGGTAAGACTTCGCAGGGTGATAAAATGAGAGGACGCATGACGAGGAAAGGCAAAACCAAAAGGGCGAATAATGAATTCAATCCACCAGGTCCGTGATGAAAGGGGTACGGTGGACAGGAGGAAAAGGAAAAGGAGCACGAGTATAAGGTATAAGCATGAAAGGGGGAGGACGACGAGACCGAGCAACACCAAACACAACCAGCAACACTTGCGACACCATCACGGGCATCAGCGTGAGGAAGGCACAACCATCGAGGAGGAGCGGAACAAAGACAGAGGCGGGAGGGAACATCTGCGGCCGCATCAGTTCCTGTGCCCAACCGCGCAGTAAGGCACTGGGGCACGCAAACTTCTCGCTTCCAGCGGCTCGGAAAAAAAAATGCCCCCCCCCCCCCCAAAGCAGGAGGCCGCCCACGTGGGATCCGAGCAGACGGGCTCGGACGGCCTCCCCGCATTGCCGAGGCACCAGCGGTGCGTCTGCGACGACGGGATAGGGGGCAGTCGGGCTCCAGATCGCTTCAAGCGCGGCTCGGAAAAAACATGCCCTCCCCCCCCAAAGCGGGAGGCCTCCCGCGTGGGATCCGAGCAGCTGGGCTCGGACGGCCTCTCGCCGCCTCGCCGAGGCACCAGCGGTGCGGCTGCGACGCCAGGATAGGGGGCAGTCGGGCTCCGGATCGCGCCGCACGTGGCACCCTAAGGGTATACACTTTCCAGCCGTCCAGGAGGAGGAGGAGGAGGAGGAGGAGGAGGAGGAGGAGGAGGAGGAGGAGGAGGAGGAGGAGGAGGAGGAGGAGGAGGAGGAGGAGGAGGCGGAGGAGGAGGAGGAGGAGGAGAGGGCAGGCGTCCCACACGGCGGAACAATTTATTCTATACCGTTCTTCGCCCGTCAACGTATCGGCATGTGTTGCCGATGCATCGGCGATTGCGGCGCGATCTCCGACCCGATCGGAAGAGCAAGCACAGAAGCACTACCCTTCGGAGGTGCGTGCGGATCTCTCGGATCGGCGCTGGGCTCCCCTGGCGGCGCCTGCGGCGCCGACCCTGGCGCGCTCTGCGCGCCTGGGAGGGGGCCCAGCGCCGATCCGAGCAATCCGCGCGCACTCCCGGAACCGAATGCTCGTGCCGTTGCTGCTTGCTTCGGATCCACTCCCACGCCGTTCGGGCGGCTTCGAATGAGCACGACGGGAGGACCCTAGATGAAGGTGCGCGTCCTTACTGGGCGCGTGAACTGTCCTTCAGCACCTTGACTGTGCGCTTCAGGGCCTCGACGACGACGACGACGACGACGGCGGCGACGACGACGACGTCGACGTCCCGAGAGGCTCGGACCCCTTCCGCGGAGGACGCGCGTTTTCATCTAGGGCCCTTCACAAATCACTCCTGGGGCGTGCTCTGACCGCAGGACTTCAAGGCGAAACTGGCCGTCACGAAGAGGGGCGGGCACCAGCAGCAGCGGTGTCCTTGCCCCCGTGTGAGAGGAGGGGCTAACCAGCCTCGAATTTGTCCCTATCACTAAGATCTCTGGAAATAGGAAAGGGGTGTGGCGTAAAGGGGTGTGGTGCCAATGCTGAGTCTGGCGATGTCGTCTGTCGTAGATGGCATCTCGATTTCCACGACTGGCACCACACTCCTTTCTGTCACACCCCTTTTTTTATCTCCAGAAGATCGACCAGCCCGAAACGAGTGTCGGAGGGGCCCCGGTGCGAGTCCGCCTCCCACGCAGATTAACAGGAGGGCACCAAGTATATGCCTACACTGATCCTGGCCATGCCCATCCTGAGCCCAGGCTCGGTGCGTACGCCCTCCTGGCTTGGACAGGAAGGCGTTTGCAACGATCCTTGGTTTATGATGGGCCTGGCCAGGATCGGTGCAGGTGCATCGTTGGTGCCCTCCGAAAGAAGAAATGATAACTTTGGGCCCCCGCGCGAGTCCGTCTCCAACGTAGATGAAGAAGTGCGGGCCCTTGCCGGCCCCGCCGGCCCAGCCAACCATGCCAGGCAGCATGATGGGCCCGTGGCCTCGGCATGCGCGCAGGCGGAGGAGCAGAAGGCAGCGGGAGCGGCAGCAGGAGGAGAGGAGGAGGAGGAGGAGGAGGAGGAGGAGGAGGAGGAGGAGGAGGAGGAGGAGGAGGAGGAGAAGGAGGAGGCAGGGGAGGAGGAAGGCGATGAGGCGCGGGAAGATGAGCGGGACGAGGAGGACGAGGAGGAGGATGAGGAGAAGGAGCAGAAGGAGGAGGAGGAAGAGGAGGAGGAGGAGGAGGAGGAGGAGGAGGAGGAGGAGGAGGAGGAGAAGGAGCAGGAGGAGGAGGAGGAGGGTGAAAGAGGAGGATAAAGGTGCAGGTGAGATATGACGATGCGCTGCGCACGGATCCCCGATCATCTGAGCACGTTGGCCTCTCTGGCCAGCTTTGTCCCCATTGGCATGGCCTCGGCCCCACAAGCCGGCTTACCTTCCTAGGCTGGGAGACACGCCAGCTCCTTCGGATTTCATGGGGCGTGCCCCACCCGGGGTGGGGGGTGGACTGGCGGGTATGAGATGCCTTGGCCCCATGGAGGTGGCAATCGGTCAGATGCTCAGCGATAGTAATCGGAGCGCGCTGCAGTAGAGCGGTCAACAGAGCGCGCACGGGGCGCAGCCGGGGGATCCAGCAGGCCGCCGCTCGGGCAGCGGACCCCCGGCAGCACGAGGCCCGCGCCTCACCTGGACCGAGAGGTGGGGCGCAGGAGCAGGACAGGTCGCTCTTGTGAGCGCAAAGTGATGATGATTACCATCCCCATCCCCATCCCCATCCCCATCCCCATCCCCAGCAGCATCATCATCATCATCATCATCATCATCATCATCATCATCATCATCATCATCATCATCATCATCATCATCATCATCATCATCATCATCATCACCATCACCATCACCATCACATCATCACCATCACCATCACCATCATCATCCATCACCATCACCATCACCATCACCATCACCATCATCATCACATCATCATCATCATCATCATCATCATCATCATCATCATCATCATCATCATCATCATCATCATCATCATCATCATCATCATCATCATCATCATCATCATCATCATCATCATCATCATCATCATCATCATCATCATCATCAGCATCATCATCATCATCATCATCATCATCATCATCATCATCACTATCATCACCATCATCACCACCATCATCGAAAGTGGAAATTCTCCCGGAGGGAGAAAACGCTCGACAAGACGAACAGGAACCCTCGCAGAAGACAGAGCCTCCTGAGGGCACATTTCCTTCACGCAGGCAAAGTGGAACAGGACGTGGAACTTGCGATCCAGGAGGAACAACGAAGCCCTGGGTTGAAGGATGCAGCGCAGTGACCTGAACAGAGTCATGCCACCTCAGTAACTTGCACGGTCGTGGGAGCACGCTTCCCAATGGCGCGCCTGGAAGCGCGACGGGCCGCCAAGCGTCGACCGTCTCCTGCGGAGCAGCCTGTGAGGCCTAAGAGGACAGCCCAGCAGGCCATGCGCACGCACCGCAAGTTAGTGGAACCGAAATGAACGATCGCGATGATCTTTTGATCTTCTGTTGGGATTACGCACTTCGTTCGATCATATGACTTGGGCCAAAACGGTCTCGGAGGAGGAGGTGGAGGGGGGAGAAGAGCGGCAGGCCCATCCCTCACTGTTTTGCCGACTTCTGCGGCCCCCAGGGGGCAAGATGAAAACGACTCGACGCGAATTTCTGCACATCGAGGTCTGCTCAGCTGCTGTGCAGGTATAACACTGCGACAGTCCGACGCAGCAAGGAGAGTGGCCTATGCACAACGGAACTTAAAGCAAGGCTTGGTACAGAAATGCGTGCCATCTCCAGTGGCGCGCCATCGACGCCAACCTGAAGCCGTCCACGACTCCGCTGAGGCCCCCTGAAGGCCCGCCTCATGGCGCTCCCGCCACGCGCGGTGACTGCGCCCACGCCCAGCACCGATTCCACGGAGTTCTGGGGCCCGACGCCGCCGAAAGGACGCTCGCGACCACTCCGGCCTTTGGCAGACGGGCTCGTCGAACCCGTCGTGCAAACCCACGTCGAACGCCTCCTGCATCCCCACATCTCGCCGAGCCCCTCATCCCCTTCGAAGTCATCTACGACGAACCCGTTTTGCCCGAAGTCCTCGTCGGCCCTCCGCGGTGGCGCCGCCCCGCTGGAATCGCTGGACACCGATACGAACCTGGAAAAGAGGGCTGCAGGGCGGCTAAGATGGCGGCGGTCGCGCCTGCGAACACGAAGCCGCCTGACAAAGGTCCCCGCGCTCGCCGCCTCGAAACCGCCCAACTGCGCCTCCGTGCCCGCCCCCAAGCCGCCCACTGGCATCTTGTCGCCCCTGCCCGCGTCGATCTGCGTCCCCGTGCCTTCGTCGTCATGCTGCACTTCCGCGCACGCGGCGGCCAGCGTCTCGACGCCGGCGTCGACCTGCTGCCCTCCCCGCCGCCCTCCCCAGCGCACTCCTCGCCGTACTGCGGCCGCTGTCCTGCCATCAGCACGAGGGAGGTGCCCACTGCAGAACGACGGCAAGCTTGCCGACCACCACGCCACGGGCGGCGCAGGCAGAAGCTGCACCAACGAGGCCGCCACAGCGCCGGGCCTCGGTGAAGAGCGGCCCGAACGGGGCGCCGCGCCCTCTGCTCTGGCTGCGTGCGGTGGGCTGGCTGCGATGTTGGTGCCGGGCACGGGCCCTGGCGGCAGCATGGCCAAGCGGCAGCGCTCGTGCGAGGCCCTCGCTGGCGCCAGGGCCGCTGCAGGGCCGAGTGGAGCTCCGTAGGCATCAGTGCGGAGGTCGGGTCACTGCCGATCACGGCGCAGAGCTCCACGTCTGGCGTGTTCCGCTGGTCCCCCGCAAGCGGCCTCTCAACGATCGTCACAAAGATCAACTTGACATCTGACTGCTCCGGGCTCTCTCGCGATCATGCGCTGTGCTGGCACAGCAACGATGCTCCGAACAAGTGTGATCGAGAACAAGTGTGATTGTTTTTATCACACTTGTTTGTTCCCAACCATCCTGTGGCGTTGGGCCCTCGTTTTGAAGAGACAGCGCCCCGCGTCCCTCCTCTCCTCTCCTCTCCTCTCCTCTCCTCTCCTCTCCTCTCCTCTCCTCTCCTCTCCTCTCCTCTCCTCTCCTCTCCTCTCCTCTCCTCCTCCTTTTTCTCCTCCTCCTCCTCCTCCTCCTCCTCCTCCTCCTCCTCCTCCTCCTCCTCCTCCTCCCCCTCCTCCCTCCTCCCATTCGCCTCGTCACCTCCTTGCGTTTCACCCACCCAGGACAGCGTTTCGTGGCCCCATATGGAGCTCCACAGAAGGCTCCAGTGGAACAGGCCGCATGCGTCAACGCCACCAGGACAGCGTTTCGTGGCCCCATATGGAGCTCCACAGAAGGCTCCAGTGGCATAGGCCGCATGTGTCACCGCCACCCAGTACAGCGTTTCGTGGCCCCATACGGAGCTCCACCGAAGGCTCCAGTGGCACAGGCCGCATGCGTCACCGCCACCCAGGACAGCGTTTCGGTGCCCCATCGGGAGCTCCACCGAAGGCTCCAGTGGCACAGGCCGCATGCGCCAACGCCACCCAGGACAGCGTTTCGTGGCCCCATAGGGAGCTCCACCGAAGGCTCCAGTGGCACAGGCCGCATGCGTCACCGTCACCCAGGACAGCGTTTCGTTGCCCCACGGGGAGCTCCACCGAAGGCTCCAGTGGCACAGGCCGCATGCGTCAACGCCACCCAGGACAGCGTTTCGTGGCCCCATAGGGAGCTCCACCGAAGGCTCTAGTGGAACAGGCCGCATGCGTCAACGTCGCAGAAGACAATGTTTCGTGGCCCCATAGGGAGCTTCACCAAAGGCTCCCGTGACACAGGCCGCATGCGTCCACGCCACCCAGGACAGCGTTTCGTGGCCCCATGGGGAGCTCCACCGAAGGCTCCAGTGGCACAGGCCGCATGCGTCAACGCCACCAAGGACAGCGTTTCGTGGCCGTTTCGGGGGACGAACCACCACGAGCCACCACGAAAATAAAGGGCTCCGCGGCCCAGGGGGGCTGCCCTGGGAAGCCTGGACGGAGGGGGGGTCCCAAGGGGAGTTGGCCCAGAGGAGCTGGGAAGCCTGGACGGAGGAAGGCTCCCAAGGGGGGGCGGCCCAGGGGAGCTGGGGCTCAAGCTCAGGGGGGGTGCCGAGGGGGACGAACCACCACGAGCCACGACGAACATAAAGGGTTCCGCGGACTAGGGGGGCTGCCCTGGGAAGCCTGGACGGAGGGGGGTCCCAAGGGGGGGTAGCCCAGGTGACCTGGGGCTCAGGCTCAGGGAGGGGGGCGGCAGAGGGGGACGAACCACCACGAGCCACGACGAAAATAAACAACGGTTCCGCGGCCCAGGGGGGCTGCACTGGGAAGCCTGGGCGGAAGGGGGGGTCCCAAGGGGGGTTGGCCCAGGGGAGCTGGGAAGCCTGGACGGAGGAAGGCTCCCAAGGGTGGGTGGCTCAGGGGAGCTGGGACTCAGGCTCCAGGAGGGGGCCGAGGGGGACGAACCACCACGAGCAACGACGAACATAAAGGGTTCCGCGGCCCAGGGGGGCTGCCCTGGGAAGCCTGAACGGAGGGGGGGTCCCAAGGGTGGGTGGCCCAGGGGAGCTGGGGTCAGGCTCAGGGGGGGGGGGGGGCGAGGGGGACGAACCACCACGAGCCACCACGAAAATAAAGGGTTCCACGGCCCAGGGGGCTGCCCTGGGAAGCCTGGACGGAGGGGGGGTCCCAAGGGGGGTTGGCCCAGGGGAGCTGGGAAGCCTGGACGGAGGAAAGCTCCCAAGGGGGGCGGCCCAGGGGAGCTGGGGCTCAGGCTCAGGGGGGGTGCCGAGGGGGACGAACCACCACGAGCCACGACGAACATAAAGGGTTCCGCGGACCAGGGGGGCTGCCCTGGGAAGCCTGGACGGAGGGGGGTCCCAAGGGGGGGTGGCCCAGGTGACCTGGGGCTCAGGCTCAGGGGGGGGGCCGAGGGGGACGAGCCACCACGAACCACGAACCACGACGAAAGGAAAGATGTCCGAGCTCTGGAGCACAGCTGTGCGAGAGAAGAACTTCGCGCCCCCGAGGGCGCCCTTGCCCAACCCGCCCCCGAGGGCAGCGCCGCCACACGTCGCGCGGGGGCTCGGCCCGCGGCGTGCCCGCCGCCCCGCAGCCCCGGGCCTTGGCCGGCGCCGCCCCGTGCCGCGCGGGGCCTGGCCTGCGGCGTGCGGGTCGCCCGCGCCTCCGCGGGCCCGCGCGCCGCCCGCGCGCCGCCCCGCGCCGCCCCGCGTCGCGCGGGCTTCGGGCCGCGGCGCGCGGGTCGCTCGCGACGCCGAAGGCGCGCGGGCCACCCGCAACGCCGAAAACGCGAGTCTGGGCCCTGACAGGTGCCGCCGTTGATTTTTTGGGCGTGCAAAAAATACCTGCTTGCTTTTTTCGCAGCTTGACCTGTTGGGAAGAGAAGGTGGATGATGATGATGATGATGATGATGATGATGATGATGATGATGATGATGATGATGATGATGGAGGAGGAGGAGGAGGAGGAGAGGAGGAGGATGAGGAGGAGGAGGAGGAGGAGGAGGAGGAGGAGGAGGGAGGAGGAGGGAGGAGGACGGAGGGGAGGGGGCCCGAAATGCGGCATGTGGGTCACCCGCACCGCCAGTGAGCCATAGCCTCAGGCCAAGGCAACACCGCCCCGTGTCACGCAGGACGGGAGCAACATGCGGGCCACCCGCAGACGCAAGCGCACTGCCGCGGCTGGATCGTGCCGCCACGTGCCACACGGGACCCGGCCAGCTGCGCGCGGGCCACCCGCGGCAGTGCTGACCCTGCGCGCCCCGAGGGGGCGACGAGGCCTCGTGCGACCTCCGCCCAGAAGCCGCTCGCGAGCGCGCGACGCCGCGGACGCGAGCGTCTGGCGGCCGCCCCCGCCCAACCGCGGGCCGCCCGCGCTGCCCGCGCCTCGGGCCGAAGCCGTAAACGAGGATGAAGCCTCGCCGCCGCGCTCGGGGCCTGAAATCGCCTGGTGGAGGGCGGGCTACTTCCAGCGCGCCGTGCAGACGCTGTCGTGCAGCTTGGGGATCGACGAGGCCCGCGTAGACCTCGTGCTGCACGAAGGGCATGTCGCGGGCCCGGCAACAACAGTCGGCCACGTGCAAGCAGCGCGACTGCGAGCGGCGGGTGATGGAGATGACATAGTCTGAGTCTGGTGCCGAGGCCGTCATCGCTCTCCTCCGCGCCGCGCTTCATGCCGAACCCGTCGACGCCAGAGTTCACGCGCGGATCGCCGTCGTCGGGCGCGTCCTCGATCTCGAGGGCCGCTGGAGTAGCGACCCGATGCGCTCGACGCCGACACTGTGCTCGATCCTGAACGTGTGGACTTCCGAGAGGAGGTCGTCCTCGGCGTCGGGCACGTCGCCGCGGCGCGCACCCCGAATCGTCGCTACGAATTTGGCTTGCGCGCCGACAACGAGCGCCCGGGAGGCGCGGACGTACTCGCCGCTGCCCGTCGAAGCCCAACGGCCGAGGTTGTCCAACGCGTCGCGCGGGAGGTGCAAGCACGACCCCCGAGAAGGGAGCGCCGCCCGGTGGCTGTGCGCGGACCAGAAGGAGGCGAGCTCTGAAGGGAGGAGCGCCTCGGGGCCGGGCTCCCAAACGCCCCCCTCGCCGAGACGCGGGCAGCGCAGCTCACCCAGCATCGCCTTCAGTAGCGGCAGCTTGTCTGCGTAGCGCACGGGTGCGGGCTTGACGCCCGAGAGGTCCGACGTCGGCATCGGGGGCAAGTAGCCGCGCGGGAGACCACGAAGCTCCTTGAAGTGCGCGAAGCCCGTGCCCAACCACTGCCGGCACGCGAGGAATGCGCCTGGGCCCACGGGCGCGGTCAACACCGAAATGCGTTTGCCAGGCCCCGTCGTCTTGGAGTGCCGGACGTAGAAGCTGAAGCCCGCCTGCGCCGAGCAGGTCAGCTCGCTCGGGCGCACGTGGACGGAGTCATCGAAACGCAACGCCGCCCAGATGCGGACACGCACGACCCAGACGTAAGCGCGCTGGTATGCAGCGTGGCGCGAGTCCGCGACGACCAACTCCAAGGCGATCACCACCATGACAAGGAACTGCGCGGCCTTGCGCCGTAGGCGCCCCGTCCCCGCGTCGAGCGAAACCTCGACGTCCTTGACCGTGCGGAGGACGATAGGGTGGGTCGACACCCGATCGGTCAGCGGCACGCCGCCGCAACTCTCGAAGAAAGACAGCGTCGTCACCAAAGCGTGGCACAGAGCGCGCACACGGCTCTTGGGCGCGAAGTTCCATGTAGATAAGGAAAACGGGCACGCCAGCTTCGCCCTATGGGAATCCGCCAACGCCCGCTGCCGCGAGCCAACGCTCGACCTTCTGCGACGTTCGGACCCGGACACGCAGCGTGCCCGGCCGGCTCCCGCCAGCGCAGCGGCGGAGGAACGCAGCTGGGTCCATCTCGCTGGCAGCGAGGCGAGACGCTGGGACGTCCGACGCTCGCAACACCTGGACGAACTGGTCCAGCCACCTCAGCCAGTCCTTCGCCTCCGCGTCCGCGGCGGCATCTGGGCTCGCCGCCGCGGCGTGATGTCGACGCAAGCGCGTGGGCCAGCGCGGCGGGCGTGGCGCCGGGCGCGCTGGCTGCGCCGTTGGCGACAGTAATGGCGGCGGTGCCGCCTCAC